TGAACAAAACCTCCAGCTGGAGCTTAAGGCCGTGTCTTTTCATCCTGTCTGAATGTGCAGGGTCCCCCTACTTAGTTCCCTTCTCCAAGCAAAACAATCATGTTTTCCTCTTCCCTGAAAAAGATCATTATGTTACCTACTCATTCTTCTAGAGTCCCGGGCTCCTCATGGCTACTAGCCGAGGTCTGCTTCCTGTGGGAAGGGTTTGGGGGGGCCAAGCCCTGAGTGATCTTGGCCTCCCTGAGCAAGCGCCCCGCGTGAGTCCCGGGCTCCTCATGGCTACTAGCCGAGGTCTGCCTCCTGTGGGAAGGGTTTGGGGGGGGCCAAGCCCTGAGTGATCTTGGCCTCTCTGAGCAAGCGCCCTGAGCCCCAGGAAGGGGAACAGAAGAGGACTCATTGGGCTGGCTCTTTGCTCCAGGAGGGCTCCATGTCCTCAGTGCCCGGAGGTCCTCCCAGACCTGGACTGTCCCTGTTCCATCTTGTGCACGGAAGGCCTGGCTCAGGACCCTGCCCTGTGGTGTCTGTCCCAGGCTGGCCTTTCCCTACGTGACGTCTCCAGTGGCAGGGCAGGATTTGGCAGGGGGTGGAGTGGTGGCGCTGTTGCCACTGGCCTGGTTCTTACAGTGCCCAGCACTCTATCCTCTTCAGGTCTGCAGAGTCCTAGAACAGGCACAGCCACGGACAGGCCACCCAGTCTATTTTCCCAGGGCAAGTGCCAACGGCACCTGCAGCCACAGCCAGGAGCCATGTTAGAAGCCCTAGGAGTCTAGTAGCAGCCCCTGTTAGGGCAGGGAGTGGCGGGATTGATTGAGGAGGGAGTGTAAGTCCCCACCGGCCTTACAGGGGGGAGGGACTGTCAGCAATGTGGATGCAGAGCCAGGAAGGGGGATGCAGGGAGTGGGGGTGACCGACTGGGTGGCCACTTGGGAAAGGGACCTCTTCCCACCATCTCCTAAGGCCAAGGTCCCTCTGCTCTGCTGTCCCTTGCTGTTTTCTGGACTGGTGGTGGGTTCTTTGGGTGGTAATAGATCCTTTGTTTTTTGTAGTTGTTTTTTGTTTGTTTGTTTGTTTTTCTGTTGCTGCTTTGTGACAAGTAGGCTCCTATCTCAGAAGCATTCCCAGTGCAAAGTCATCCCATGGTCGATAAAGCCGTTATCATGCTCCCCTGAGAGGATGCGTTGGACTGTCCGCTAATCCTTGAGACAGCTGTCCGCCTCTCTATTGGACTGGGCTGCCCGGTACCCAGTGCCGGTACGGCAGGTGGGACTCTAAAAAGTGCCGCTTCTTCATCACTTCTGGGCCTTTGGGCGAAGATCAAGTGTAAAACGTGCCGCTTCTTGCTAACAAAGCCGGCCCCAGTCTGGGGACCTCACCACCCAGGTGCATTGGTCCTTGGCCTTTGTGCCAGGCCAGCCTCACCTTTGTGCCAGGCTGCCATCCTCCGCCCTCACAGCCTCCCTGGGGCAGTGAGGTGACGCCCAGCTGCGTGTGTTTGCCCCCTGCTCCTTCGGGGCCTCTCGGTTCTGCAGGCAGGGCTGTGAGAAGTGAAACCTGTGGTTGCCCGCGCTGCAGGAGCGCGTCAGCTGTCTTTCCTGCGGGTTACTGTGAGTTTGGCAGCCTTGCCTCCGCTCAGCCCAGCCCTTAACCTGACAGATGTCCCCGGTCCCCTTTGAACTGGGGCACGTTGGCCTTTTTCTCAGAACAGTGGCCAAAGTGGAATGGAAAGAGGGCTGGGCTAAGAGGAGGCCTGGCTCCAGGCTCTGCCCAGCCAGCTGTGAGACTGAGCTCATCCCTCCGGCACGTCCCTCCGGCACGCCGAGCCCAGGCAGGAAGTCCCAGAGGGGGCCGGTGCCAGGTCCAGCATCACACCGCGCAGTGGCGCGCCTCCTGCCCCCTCCAGGGCGGGAGCTCTGCCAGTCGGGATGGCAGCGGGCACCTCTGCTGAGCCTCTGTGTCTGCTCCCAGGGCACGTGGCAGGCCCCGCAGGCCGAGTCTGCCCTGAACCATGGCAGGCTCCCCGTAGGCACTGGAACCTGCCCTGGGCAAGGTGAGGGCACTGGCGGTTCAGCCAGCCCAGGTGTGAATACTGGGGGAGTGGGGCGGAAGGGGAGTCCTGGCCTCCAAGTCCCCACCTCCCAGGGAGTCCAGGGGCGGGAACGCCCATCACCCGGAGGAGTGGGGTGCCAGGCCCACCCCCACTCACCTCCTGTAATAGAGCAACAGGGGGTGTTTCAGCCCCTCCAGCTCTTCTTCCTCATCTGAAAGTTTAAAATACCAGCAGCTGCCCAGCCGGTGTGGTTCAGTGGTTGAGCATCGACCACTGAGGTCACAGTTCAATTCCTGATCAGGGCACATGCACAGGTTGCAGGCTTGATCTCCAGTGTGGGGCATGCAGGAGGCAGCCAATCAATGATTCTCTCTCATTGATGTTTCTACCTCTCCTTCCCCCTTCCTCTCTAACATCAATAAAAATATATTAAAACATAAAAATAAAACACCAGCAGCTGTCCCGCTGGGTGTCAGGAACTCATAAGACCCTTCGTCATTGGCACTGCCTCACTAACCTGTCGGTAACCCTACGGGAAAGGTGCTGATCTCTGCTTTTCACATGAGCAAATGGGGGTGAGGAGTGAAGCCAGGTTTTGCCTGACTCCCCAGTCCTTGCTCTTTTTTTCTACAGAGACACAAACTCCCTGAGATGTAGCTCTGAGGGTTCCCCATGGTGAAGCCGTGTGCCGGGGAGGGGCTGGCAGAATGGAAAAGGCAGTGAGGAAGCCTGCCATGGGCTCCCCCCCGCCGCCCCCAAATAGTGCACAGAGCAGAGCCTCGGGTGGTGTCCAGACCTCTCTGATCTAGAAAATACCAGCCCCTTCGGTGCCTTCCCATCCCTGTCACCACATGGCCCCACATGACCTGTCCCCTGCCTCCTTCCAGCTTGGCTCAGTCCCGCCTTCCACACGCCCTGAGCCACCTGGAGTTCCCCAAACAGGCAGTGTCATTTCACGCTCTCTGCTTTTGCACACGCACTTCCCTGTCGCTGGACGCGCTGCCTGCCCGGCTCTGGTCGACCTGGCCTCCCCCCGCTTGTTTTTGAAGAGTCAGCTAAAGCCTGGCCTCCCACCCAGCTGGCCTCGGCGCCCCTCCGGTGCCTCCTTGCTGTGCATGGCCGCCCGCCTGTGTCGCGCTGTGGCCCCAATTCTGCATGTGCCCCCTGACCCGTGAGCACCCGAGGGCAGAGATCTCTGCTCCCGTTTCTCTGGCATGTTGCTGGATCCCTACCCAGTGCCTGGCACGTGGTAGGCACACGTGTGGACGTGGGTGGGAGAATCAGATGTCAGAGTCGGCATCACCGTGCCCTGTGGTGGCAGAGCCCCTCCCCCGCGGTCCGGAGAGGAGTCCAGATGAAAAGTGCCTGGAGCGGCAAAGGAAGGACAGCAGGGACACCGGCAGGCTGTCTGGGTCCCTGCTCGGTGGGCAGGTCCTGGCATCCGGAGAGGAGTCCAGATGAAAAGTGCCTGGAGCGGCGAAGGAAGGACAGCAGGGACACCGGCAGGAGAGAGCCCAGGGAGGCTGTCTGGGTCCCTGCTCCGTGGGAAGGTCCTGGCGCTTGGGATGGAAGCAGCGTGGTGGTGGGGAGGGGGGGTGGGAGGAAAGGGCGGCTGGCCATCAAGCTGGACTGTCGTACCCCTCACTGGCTATGAGCAGCTCCTCAGAGGGCTCATGTGTCTGCCAAGTGGCAGCCTGGCTTCCCAGGCAGTACCAGGCTCCATCGCTGGCAAGGGCCTCCCTGCTGGGCCCGTCGGGGGAGAGCAGTCCGAGCCAGCGCCTCGGGGACCTTTCAGATCCAGGGGAGATGTGATTTGTCACCAGGGTCAGTGGCAGCCAAGATAGGCTCCGCTGCAGCCCAGAGTCTTAATGGTGACACCACAGGGACCAGGGACCAGGGTGAGAGCAGTATTGGGTTCACCTCTCTTTGAGGCACATGTGGTTGGTGCTTATCCCCACGTGCCATTGATGAGGAAACCAGGGACTTGCATCTGATACACAGTCAGAGTCCTCACCCGAAGCTTTCAGCTTCTTCCCGACCGGGCAGCCTCCCGGGCAGGGCGCTGGGTCGGGGCTACCTGTAGGGCTGCAGCTTTCTTCCATCCGTCGCTCTCTGAAGGCCAGCTGGGCACCCTCTCCAAATTCCCCTCGGATTCTGCAAGCCCCTGACTCGGAGTCATGAGCCATATGCCAACGGTGGAAACATTTCTGCTTGCTGATGCCAGTCACAGTGACAGTCACCTTGGAGTAACCCCAGGTTCCCTGGAGAACTCACGCGCCCTTGGGAGCTGGTAGCTGGGAGCTGGAGGGACAGGTTGTAGGGGAACGTGAAATCCAGGCTAGATAGTTGGAACTTCGTTCTCAGCAGAATGGAGAGCCCTGGAGAAGTGTAAGTGGGTAATGAATGAAGCAGGGCACGTGTACCTTCATCCTTTTAAGGGTGAATTGGGGCCCAGCTAGTGTTGCTCAGTGGTTAAGTGTCGACCTATGAACCAGGAGGTCACGGTTCGATTCCCTGTTAGGGCACATGCCCAGGTTGCAGGCTCGATCCCCAGATGGGGGCATACAGGTGGCAGCTGATCAATGATTCTCTCTCATCATTGATGTTTCTGTCTCTCTTCCTCTCTGAAATCAATAAAAAAAAATAGTTTTTAAAAAAGGATGAACTGGGGGCAGTGGAGAGAATGGAGACAGAGAACCCAGGCAGGAAGCTCGCGTCCAGGCGTGCATAGAGAAGGGCCTGGGAGCCCACCCTAAACCCGGGCTCTGCCTAAATCCCCTTCGTGACACAGTTAGAAGAAGTGAGTGTGGGTTTTGGAGGTAGATTCCAGGAAGGGCGGGTTGAGTCCCAGTGTCCAGCCCCTCAGGTTCATGGAGCTGAGGGAGGCAAAGGGCTTCGGGTCCCTCGAAGCCTTCTCCCCCTCCCACCCCCACCTCCACCAAGAGATCTTTCATGGACCAGAGCTTTGGGTCTTTCTGAGTGCCTGGCCCTTTCTCCTGGGCAGGGAACCTTTGCAGCCCATTTTCCATGCGTCTCCTGACTCCAGTTGCTGACTCAGCTCAGCTGATCTCTGCTGGGGAAGCAGACAGTGACTCAGGGCACCAAGGCCCTTCCCAGGCCCCGCAGCCGGGCGTGCACGGAAACTTTACTGGTGTTTGGCTGAACCCTTCTTTCCATCCCAGACGCAGTGCACGGGGTGAGAAGTGGGGGGTGAGGGGGCACATGTGATGTGTGAGCCACAGATGGAGAGAATGACCCTGCTGTCCGGGGGGAGGCGAGACTGGGACCAGGAAGAGCACGTGGTTCTGTCAGCAGCTTCCCCCTGGAGCCACGTTTCCATGTATGGTCTGGGCTCTGCAGGGGCAGGCCGCAGGGAGCTAGTTCCGCTGTGTTCTGAGCTCACAGGGAGTATTGAGCTCACTGTGGAGATGGACCCTTCTCCCTTCTCGGCCTCCCATCCGCTCCCGTCATTTCTGGTATTTTAAACATGATTTTCGCTCCCTGCCCCCATCTCTCTCACACATGCATCCAGCCAGGCACCCTGACCTTAGTGAGGCTGCAGGAGCTCAGAGGTGATGGAGGTGACAAGAGGCATACTGGGTGCTGGTGCTGAGCCAGCGCAGTTGGAAGCACTCAGAAGCGGGGGCCAGGAAGACCGGGCTCCCTGAGTACCCTGGTCTGGACATCTGTCCCTGCTCTCCCTATGGCCTCTGCCCAAGACTCTTGCATCCGGAGGGAGCCTGAAGGTAGAGAGTTGGTGGTGCTGAGGCCCGGGGCTGTAGCGTGGGCATAGGCGGCAATTTGGGTCCGATCTCCCTGCTAACCCAGACGCCCACCCTTCCCTGCAGGTACCGAGGCTTCATCCTGCTGCTCACCTTCTTCATCTACACATGTTATCACATGTCCAGGAAGCCCATCAGCGTGGTGAAGGTGAGGCTGGCTAGCGGCGGGAAAGATGCAGGAGATGCTAGAGAAATACACTCTAGGTGAGGGGCCCGGGACTCGGGCCAGGACCGTCCTTACCGCGGCCACCGAGCCTGCTCCTTCGCCTGGCGGCTCCCTCTGTTAGTAGCCCTGCTGTTGCAGAGAACCGCCCTAGCGCTCCTGTGAGCAAGGACCCCGGGCTCTGTGGGCTCTGCCTTCACTGAGGGTCCGCTGTGGCCACCTGTCCCTATACCAGGTCCTGCAGGGGAGGTGCCAGAGGCCGGAGCAGAGGCCGGTGGGGAGGCAGTGGCGCTGGTGTGGCTGGGGAGGGAGCTGCTTGCTCCTCTCGGGCTGAGGAGGCTGAGGGGCCCCTGGCCTGTGTATCCCATTGTCTGTCCAGAGCCGTCTGCACCAGAACTGCTCAGCGATCATCCAGCCCCCCAATGCCACCCACAGTCCCAACGACACCACGTGGTGCAGCTGGCCTCCGTTTGGTAAGAATGGGGCCAGTGACTCCCCCACCCTCCCCAGGAAGGGGGCCCAGGGCCAGAGAGGCCTTCCTGCAGGGGCAGCCAAGCAGCGAGCTCAGCTTTCTGTCTCCCCCTTCTGCTTCCAGACCAGGACAACTACAAGGAGTTGCTGGGCGCCGTGGACAACGCCTTCCTGGTGGCCTATGCCATCGGCATGTTCATCAGGTGAGAGGGGCAGAGCCGGGGTGGGTGGTCCCGAGCCGCTGCCAACCTCGATTCGCCCTCACCCGGCAGCGGGTCAGTGAACGAGCTGCCAGCTCCCCTGGTGGAAATGAGAGCGAGACTTCTGCACGTGTGCTCAGCCACAGCCATTCTCGTTTCCCTGTGTGGTCACTCCCACTTCCGGTAGCTCTTTTCCTGGAAAGCCTTTCCCGGACACTCCTTCTGACTCTGCACGGGGTGGCAGGGTCCACGGTGTGGCTGGAGTGCGGTTTGTTCTGGACCCGAATCCTTCAAGGGGGAGCGCTGGACGCAGAAACGGGCAGGAAAACCTGTCCTGTCCTGGGCCGCCATTAGCAAGGCAGGCCTGGTGTTTGTCACCAGGAGTCCGGCAGGTACCACCTCCAGCAAGCACACAGCCTGACGGGACCAGCAGCAGCTGGTACACATCAGTGTGGTGGCTCTGTGACAGGCGGCTCTGGGCGCTCCAGAGGCTCCGGGGTGGCCACTTAGTCCAGGCCGGGGTTAGAGAAGAGGGACTAGGGAAGGCTTCTTGAAGGAGATGCTGTTGGCACCAATGCAGAGCAGGGGCGTGGCGGTGGGGAAGAGGCGAGGCAGGAGGCTAGCATGGGGAAGGTAAGGAAGAGGGAGGTGGCATGGTCAGGGCTGGGGTGGGGGTAGCAGCAGGAGATGGGCTGGAGAATGAGCCATGTGGACCAGGCCATGGGCACAGGAGAGCGTTGGAGGGTTTCACTCAGGGTGTCGTGTTCAGATTTACATTTCAGACAGGCCACTCCGAGTCGGACGAGAGGCAGGTAAAGGGAGGGCAAGGCCGAAGGCCTGGTTATGCTAGGAAGCAGATGGATGACAGTGCAGCTACACTTAAAAAAATATATTTTTATTGGTTCCAGAGAGGAAGGGAGAGGGAGAGAGAGATAGAAACATCAATGATGAGAGAGAGTCAATGAACCGCTGCCTCCTGCACACCCCACACTGGGGATTGAGCCCGCAACCTAGGCATGTTCCCTGACCGGGAATCGAACCGTGACCTCCTGGTTCATAGGTCGACGCTCAACCACTGAGCCACACTGGCTGGGCGCAGCTACGCTTTGAGGAGCTCTTGCGTTAGAAGAGCAGTAAATAGAGGTGGAAAGACGACATGCTAGAAACTAAGAGTAGGATTGGTGGGTTTGGAGGTTGAACGTGAAGGGTGGGAAGAAGAGGCAGGGAACCGAGGTGGCTCTGTGGTTTCTGGCTTGAGTGGCCACGGGCGGTGGTGCCATTCCCTCCGATGAGGGCACCGGGTAGGGCTGGGTAGGGTGAGGAGGAAGAGTTCAGTTTTCGAGTGTTGAGTTTCAAGTGTTTGGGGGTCTCCAGGCCAAGATGTCCAGAAAGAAGTATCTGGATGTGCTGGCCGCTCTGGGGGAGAGAGTGGACTGAAAAAACTCGGTGGTAGTTACCACCGCAAAGGTGCTGCAGGAGAGGCTCCCAAGAAAATCAATGAGGAGGCGTGGTCAGCCAAGGGGGAGGGGCTGAAACCCTCAAGAGTGGCATCGAGCAGGCCAGGGGGAGACAGGAGTGTGGTCAGCAGTTTCAAATAAAGCAGAGAAGCCTAGTGAGTGGAGGGCTGCGGGTGTCCCTGGCTGTGGCAACCCAGAGGTCACTGGTGGTCACCTTGACCTGAGTCGCCCCGCCCAGTGGGGTGTTGGGGGGAAGAAATGGAGGCAGGGTTGAGGAGTGCAGATAGCGGGACCAACCACAAATCTAACTCTGTTCTCCAGTGGGATTTTCGGGGAGCGGCTCCCCCTTCGTTACTACCTGTCGGCCGGAATGCTGCTCAGTGGCCTCTTCACCTCGCTCTTTGGCCTGGGGTATTTCTGGGACATCCACGTGCTCTGGTACTTCGTGCTCATTCAGGTATGAGCCCCTGTCTTGCTCTCTGGCCTCTGTTTCCATCTCAGGAAGAATCTAGTCCCCCTCGGCCGCCCCAGGTCATGGCCGAGGTAGGCCCTCACGCCTCCTGCCCAGCCCACTGCTCCTCTGTGATGCCCCAGAGGGTCCCACCTCCCAGGGTCACGCATTTGCCCCCTCAGTAAGTCTGCACTGAGCACACCCCGGGTCGCTACGGTGCCGGAGCCTGGGTCTCTGCCGCAAAGGATCTTGGGCCTCTGATGTCGAACCTCCCCAGCCTGGGATGGGTCAGAGCAGGAAGTGGGCAGCAGCCGGGCCTGTCCCACCTGCCTGCTCTCTCCCTGCAGATCTGCAATGGACTCGTCCAGACCACAGGCTGGCCCTCGGTTGTGACCTGCGTGGGCAACTGGTTTGGGAAGGGGAGGTGAGTGTGACAAAGGAGTGTGAGCAGGAGGTTCCCTGGGAGGGCGGGGGTAGTGCGGAGGTCACTGGGCCCCTCACGTAATTTCAGGGTACACGATTAGAAACGTGCCTCCGTTTGGCCGACTTGCATATGCTGAGTGAGATAAACATGTCAGTGACAAAAGCAGTATTGATTTTTCTATTGATTAGGTTTTAACCCATAAAACAGCAACTTTAGTTATGCTTTTCCTCATAATAAATGAATTTCCATTTCTCCTAAAGGCAAAAAAGAAGCCTGTAAAACTGTGGTGTGTTTTTTTTTCCCCTTGAGCTGGCTTTTCTTTTTTCCTCCTAAAGGCAAAAAAGAAGCCTGTAAAACTGTGGTGGTGTTGTTTTTTTTTCCTTGAGCTGGCTTTTATTTTTTTAAACATATTTTCATTGATTTCAGAGAGGAAGGGAGAGAGAGAGAGAGAAGAAACATCAATGATGAGAGAGAATCATTGATTGGCTGCCTCCTGCATGCCCCACACTGGGGATTGCAACCCAGACAAGTGCCCTGACCAGGAATCAAACTGTGACCTTCCTGGTTCATAGGTTGACGCTCAACCACTGAACCACGCCAGCTGTGCTTGAGCTAGGTTTTGTGCAAAAAAAGGTTGCTTTCGGGCAGGACTTCTCACCTCGGCACTGTTGGCATTTGGGGCTAGACTCGAGGATTCTTGGTCATGAGGGCCAGCTGTGCATTGTAGATGCTTAGCAGCATCTGCCCATTAGGTGCTGCCAGCGCATCCTGAGCTGTGACAACTCCGGACACGGCCCCTGGCCCCTGGGGGTTGAGGCCCCGTGCTTTAGAGTTACAGCCACAGGAGAGGGAGAAGAGGGGGTGGGAGTCTGGACCCCTGAGGACAGCAGAGCTCCGTTGGCAGGCCCTGTGTGCTGGCTCAGGTCTGCAGGCCTGGCTGTCCCTCGTCTGATCTCACGCATCCCTCCCCTTTCCCTGGCACGGAGGCTGTAGGCAGCCAGCTTTCTGCATTTGGCCAGGGCAGTCGAGGTGAACCCTCTGCTTCCCTTTTTACTTTTTCTGCTCTTCTCCCCTCCCGCTCCTCATCTTCCCTCACTCTCCCCCTCCTCCCCTCCCTCCAGGCGGGGGCTCATCATGGGCATCTGGAATTCCCACACCTCCGTGGGCAACATTCTGGGCTCCCTGATCGCCGGCATCTGGGTGAGCGAGCGCTGGGGCCTGTCCTTCGTGGTCCCAGGCGTCATCACCGCTGCCATGGGCATCGTCACCTTCTTCTTTCTCATCGAGTGTGAGTGGACCCTCCCTCCCCACGGGGCCGCAGCTCTGGGAGAAGGCAGCTGGCTAGGGGAGGATTCCTGGTCACAGAGCGGGAGGACCGGATGTGGGACTCGGGACAAGCAACTGCTCGGAGCCTCAGTTTTCTCATTTGTCAATGGGACCAACAGCTTGTCCATCCCGGGGCTGGTGAAGGTTTAGGCGACACAGGAGGTTAGAATGGCTGCTGCTAGTTGGTGTTTGGCAAATGCTGGCTGAGTGAGGGGGGAAGGGAAAGGGGGGTGGGGAGTAGAGAGGACACTCCCACATTCGCTGTTCTCATCCCATCCCTGACAGCCTGAGTCAGGCAGCCCAGGTAGCAGGGCCACCTGTAGCAGGTGAACGGAAGTCCCGGAGGCATTAGTGACAGGGCAGGTGATGGAGAGTCGGGCCTAGCTGGTGGGCTCCACGCCCGAGCCCGGCTCCAGCTCCCTCGTGGGGCCACTTGGGGGTGGGGACCAGTCCCAGTGCAAGGGGAGGGCCCGGCCTGAGGAAAGCTTCTTAGAAGGTTTTTGTTTCAGACCCAGAGGATGTGGACTGCACCACCCCTCAGCACCACGTGAGTGTGCGCCCCCCACCGCTCCCTGCCCTCCCACTGCACCCCCAGACAGGGCTGGGAGTTGGAGGAGGAAGCCCTGAGCCCAGTTACCTCACAGGCCCCATGTCAAGCCCTTGGGTTGGCTCCTCGCAGCCCGGGGTGGTGGTGGGGGGCTCAGGCGGTTACTCCAGTCCCGAGAGGGACCCGCACCTCTTCCCGCTTCGGAGCCCCTGCCTCTCACGAGGGTCACCCCTCCAGCTGGCAGGAGGGGGCACATGGACGTGCCCACAGCACGGTCTCATCTCTGTTCAGGGGGAGTCGGAAGAGAAGCAGGACAGCCCTGAGGACCCGGGGAACAACCCCTACTGTCACCAGGAGAGCAGCCTGGAGGCAGCCACCGGATGCTCCAAGGAGCCAAGCGCTCAGCCTGCTGCCATCAGCTTTTGGGGGGCGCTCATGATCCCGGTGAGAGGCCGGGGGAATGGAGAGGAGAGGGGCTCTCTAGGTTTCTCGGTTGGATGTCAGGAGAGGGGGTTGCAGGGTGCTCTGTGGTTTCCAGAGGCTTGTCTGGACACAGCGTTGGAGCAGCGCACACATGGCTCTCACTGACAGTGGGTGTGGCTGGGGGTGCTTTGGGTGGTGGGGGGTGCAGGGTGCTGGGAGGTGCTCATCTGCCCCGGGGGCCGCACCCTTTTCTCATCGTGCCCTCTGCTCTGCTCCCAGGGTGTGATCGAGTTCTCTCTGTGTCTGCTCTTTGCCAAGCTGGTCAGCTACACCTTCCTCTACTGGCTGCCCCTCTACATCTTCAATGTGGGTGAGTTCCGGGGAGAAGCGGTGAGGAAGGGGGCTCTGGTCCGAGAGGAAACCGTTGCGTGATGCGTGTGATTCCAGGATGCAGGAAGGATCTCGGCTGAGCCTCTTGGAGGGCAAAGGGATATTTTTATTTATTTTTTTTAAAAAAAATATTTTTATTGATTTCAGAGAGGAGGAAAGAGGGAGAGAGAGAGAGAAACATCAATTGTAGATGCTTAGCAGCATCTGCCCGCTAGGTGCTGCTAGCGCATCCTGAGCTGTGACAACTCCGGACATGGCCCCTGGCCCCTGGGGGTTGAGGCCCCGTGCTTTAGAGTTACAGCCACAGGAGAGGGAGAAGAGGGGGTGGGAGTCTGGACCCCTGAGGACAGCAGAGCTCCATTGGTAGGCCCTGTGTGCTGGCTCAGGTCTGCAGGCCTGGCTGTCCCTCGTCTGATCTCACCCATCCCTCCCCTTTCCCTGGCACGGAGGCTGTAGGCAGCCAGCTTTCTGCATTTGGCCAGGGCAGTCGAGGTGAACCCTCTGCTTCCCTTTTTACTTTTTCTGCTCTTCTCCCCTCCCGCTCCTCATCTTCCCTCACTCTCCCCCTCCTCCCCTCCCTCCAGGCGGGGGCTCATCATGGGCATCTGGAATTCCCACACCTCCGTGGGCAACATTCTGGGCTCCCTGATCGCCGGCATCTGGGTGAGCGAGCGCTGGGGCCTGTCCTTCGTGGTCCCAGGCGTCATCACCGCTGCCATGGGCATCGTCACCTTCTTCTTTCTCATCGAGTGTGAGTGGACCCTCCCTCCCCACGGGGCCGCAGCTCTGGGAGAAGGCAGCTGGCTAGGGGAGGATTCCTGGTCACAGAGCGGGAGGACCGGATGTGGGACTCGGGACAAGCAACTGCTCGGAGCCTCAGTTTTCTCATTTGTCAATGGGACCAACAGCTTGTCCATCCCGGGGCTGGTGAAGGTTTAGGCGACACAGGAGGTTAGAATGGCTGCTGCTAGTTGGTGTTTGGCAAATGCTGGCTGAGTGAGGGGGGAAGGGAAAGGGGGGTGGGGAGTAGAGAGGACACTCCCACATTCGCTGTTCTCATCCCATCCCTGACAGCCTGAGTCAGGCAGCCCAGGTAGCAGGGCCACCTGTAGCAGGTGAACGGAAGTCCCGGAGGCATTAGTGACAGGGCAGGTGATGGAGAGTCGGGCCTAGCTGGTGGGCTCCACGCCCGAGCCCGGCTCCAGCTCCCTCGTGGGGCCACTTGGGGGTGGGGACCAGTCCCAGTGCAAGGGGAGGGCCCGGCCTGAGGAAAGCTTCTTAGAAGGTTTTTGTTTCAGACCCAGAGGATGTGGACTGCACCACCCCTCAGCACCACGTGAGTGTGCGCCCCCCACCGCTCCCTGCCCTCCCACTGCACCCCCAGACAGGGCTGGGAGTTGGAGGAGGAAGCCCTGAGCCCAGTTACCTCACAGGCCCCATGTCAAGCCCTTGGGTTGGCTCCTCGCAGCCCGGGGTGGTGGTGGGGGGCTCAGGCGGTTACTCCAGTCCCGAGAGGGACCCGCACCTCTTCCCGCTTCGGAGCCCCTGCCTCTCACGAGGGTCACCCCTCCAGCTGGCAGGAGGGGGCACATGGACGTGCCCACAGCACGGTCTCATCTCTGTTCAGGGGGAGTCGGAAGAGAAGCAGGACAGCCCTGAGGACCCGGGGAACAACCCCTACTGTCACCAGGAGAGCAGCCTGGAGGCAGCCACCGGATGCTCCAAGGAGCCAAGCGCTCAGCCTGCTGCCATCAGCTTTTGGGGGGCGCTCATGATCCCGGTGAGAGGCCGGGGGAATGGAGAGGAGAGGGGCTCTCTAGGTTTCTCGGTTGGATGTCAGGAGAGGGGGTTGCAGGGTGCTCTGTGGTTTCCAGAGGCTTGTCTGGACACAGCGTTGGAGCAGCGCACACATGGCTCTCACTGACAGTGGGTGTGGCTGGAGGTGCTTTGGGTGGTGGGGGTGCAGGGTGCTGGGAGGTGCTCATCTGCCCCGGGGGCCGCACCCTTTTCTCATCGTGCCCTCTGCTCCGCTCCCAGGGTGTGATCGAGTTCTCTCTGTGTCTGCTCTTTGCCAAGCTGGTCAGCTACACCTTCCTCTACTGGCTGCCCCTCTACATCTTCAATGTGGGTGAGTTCCGGGGAGAAGCGGTGAGGAAGGGGGCTCTGGTCCGAGAGGAAACCGTTGCGTGATGCGTGTGATTCCAGGATGCAGGAAGGATCTCGGCTGAGCCTCTTGGAGGGCAAAGGGCGATTTTTATTTATTTTTTTTAAAAAAAATATTTTTATTGATTTCAGAGAGGAGGAAAGAGGGAGAGAGAGAGAGAAACATCAATGATGAGAGAGAGTCATTGTCCGGCTGCCTCCTGCACGCCCCACACTGGGGATCGAGCCCACCACCCGGGCATGTGCCCTGACTGGGAATCGAACCGTGACCTCCTGGTTCATAGGTCAATGCTCAACCACTGAACCACGCCTGCCGGGTGCGATTTTTATTTTTAAATGCAAAGATGAACCTTGTATGCTACCCCTCAGGCCCTGACTCCAGCCACCCTTCCGTCCTTGGGGCTGAGTTGGGAGTTAGGAACTGGAAGCTCTGTTCTGTAATCCCCCCAACGTCTCCATCCTTTAGTGCAGGAGAAAGCCACCTCCAGGCTGCTGGGCGCATAGGCGGGTGGGATTGGAGGGCTCTAGGAAAGGTCTGCCTTTTGAATGCTCCCGCGGTCCCTTGAGATTCTGCCAACCCGGGGAAGACCTGGTGAGCCACCCCCACAGCTTGTAGCCTGGAGGGGAACACTGTTCTCTCCCAAGGGGCTGCCGGGAGCCTCATGGGACTCTACCCTGTGCCGGGTCGGCTGCACTGCCCAGCTCCTGACCGCTCTTCCTGCCTCTACCCCGTCCAAGGATGGACAGACGAGGAGAGGTCACTTTTGTGGTCGAAAAGTATGTGTATGTCTGCCTGGCCTGGGTCTTTGCTATTCCCTAGGTCAGGTGGCTACTCCACCAAGAAACAGACTCCTGGTCCTGGCCAGGTGGTTCTGTTAGTTGGAGCATCATCCGTACACCAAAAGGTTGTGGGTTCAATCCCTGGTTGGGATGTATACAAAAGGCATCCGATCATTGTTTCTCTCTCACATCAATGTCTCTCTCTCTCTCTCTCTCTCTCTCTCTCAAATAAATAAACATATCCTCCGGTAAGAATTGAAAAAAAGAAACAAGCAGACCCCTGTCCCTGAGCCTCAGAGCTCCGCCAGGGCCAGGCCCTCACCCAGGCTGCGCTGCACCCACAAGCCCCACGGGAGGGCCGAGGGCCAAGGCTGCCTTGCCATGTACTGTACTGACTCCAGACAGGACACCGTGGGGATCAGTCAGAGCCAGATTGCAAGCTGTAACTTGCCCCACAGCTCCTCTCTGAGGGGCCTCTTGCACAAATAGAGGTGGAGCCTCAGGCAGCTGCGTGGACAGGGAGACTCTTTGTTTTCTGGCCTCGGTGCTGACTTATGTCAGAGGATGAGTCAACCTTGAGGGCTGGGCTGCAGTTCAGGCTTCCGGAGATTCCTTCCCTAGTGCTTGGGCAACGCTGGGTCCTGAGGTTTTCCCCGTGAGCCTCCTCCCTGGCTGATTCTCAGGGGAGATCCAGGGGGATGTGACGCCCCCTGGTGGTGTCCTGCCACTCAGCCTGGAGCAGAGCAGGCACCGGCTGGTTGGGCCGAAGCGCAGTGAGAGTTGATCCCCCAGGGGAAGGTGGCCTGGGGGGTAGGATGCCTAGCCCAGATCCCAGGGCTTTTGGGGGAGGGCTGGTCTGAGAGGCCAAGGCCATCTTGCAGGGGAAGAAGGCAGAGCAGGGTTTGGGGCCCAAACTGTTGTAAATTCCCTTTGGCCCATCACTTCCACTGGTTCTCACTCCTCCCTCTGGGAAAGGAGGCTGTGGGCTGCACCGTCGCTGTTTTTTCTGGCCGACACTCCGGATGTCCGCCCCGAGCCCTCAGGCCTGACCATGTAGTTGTGTTTCCACAGCTCACTTCAGTGCCAAGGAGGCGGGGGACCTGTCTACGCTCTTCGACGTCGGTGGCATCACAGGTGGGGCCTCCATACGGCGTTCCCCTCTCCTCCTGTGGGGGTGCAGAAAGAACGTGACCATCAGAGAAAAATAGGGCTCCTGCCCAGCGGGGAAACACAGCTCTCATGTGTGGTCTTCCCTAAGCAGTGGGTACAGAAAGCATGTCAAACTCGTTTCGAGGCATGTGGCCCGCCGGCCGCGAGTTTGACATGCTTGTACAGGGAGGACTTTACAGGGAGATGCTCTGCTGGAGGCCCAAGCCAGCACCAGGCAGTGATGGGGCTGAGCTTGGGGTGGGGGTGGGGTGGAACCAGGTGGGTGGGGGGCTGGGGTCGTGCCCTGGGCAGCAGTGAGCGGGCTGGTTTGTGTTCCAGGTGGCATCCTGGCGGGGCTCATCTCCGACTACACCAATGGCAGGGCCACCACCTGCTGCGTCATGCTGATCTTGGCCGCCCCCATGGTGTGTACAACCTCAGGGCGAAGTGTGTGTGCATATATCCCTGCGTGCGGCTGCTGACCGGGGTGTGCACCCGGACACCCCCAATGCTCCAACCACTGGGGGACGTGTGTGCGCATCCCTGGGCACAGGAAAGAGACCCAGCCTGGGAGTTCAGAAAGGGATTGGTGACTATTTGGCTTTGGTGGAGAAGGGGAGACCAGCTGATAAACTTCTTTTTTTTAAAACCCTCACCCGAGGATATTTTTCTCATTGATTTTTAGAGAGAGTGGAAGGGAGGTGTGGGAAAAGAGAGAGAGAGAGGAACATCAATGTGAGAGAGACACATGGACTGGCCACCTCTCGCACGAACCCCAAAAGGGGGGGGCGGGGGAGGGAACCTGCAACCGAGGTACATGCCCTTGACCCAACACCCCAACCACTGAGCCAAACCGGCCAGAGCTGATCAACTCCTTGGCCAAGGAAAGAACAGGAAATGGAGGTTGGATATGAGAGACTTTCAGGGGAAAGGAAACAATAAATTACCAGACGTCAGACGCCCTCATCCTTGGGACGTTTAAGGAACCGTGAGACCTGGTATGAGAAGGAACAGGAATGGGGTGACCTGTTGGATACAGGGCAGCGTAGGGTTGTCCCAGACTTCCGGGCTCCCGTCCACCACAGGCGGCCCGTGGGAAGCCTGGGCGTGACGCTGCCTCTCCCTTCTTAGTTGTTCCTGTACAACCACTTCGGCCAGAGCGGGATTGCCAGCTCCATAGGTGAGACGCTGCGAGCCCTGCCGGGCCTCAGGAGGGCACTGCTTTGGGGGTGTCGGTGGGGGGCACGGGGAAGCAGAGGCGCTCAGCCTGATGCCAGGGGTCTCCTCTTCTCTAACCGGCTCTCTGTCACACCTCAGTGATGCTGATCATCTGTGGGGCCCTGGTCAATGGCCCTTACGCGCTCATCACCACTGCTGTCTCCGCCGACCTCGTAAGTGGGCCACCTCCCGGCAGCCAGGGGTCACTTGGGGATCTTGGTCGGGGCTTCTGTCTCCTGGTCCGTGTTCCCCACAGCCCTTTCCTCCCTTCTTGGCCGGTTCAGACAAGGACCTCAAAGTCCTTCGGAATCCCCCTTCCTCTGCTCCGAGCCCCGAGGCCTGCCCCAGGTCGGCGGCGCCCCTTCAGTCCCGGCGCCCGGTGCTGCCTCTCGGTTCGGGCCTCACTCCGCTCTCTCTCCCCAGGGGACACACCAGAGCCTGAAAGGCAACTCAAAGGCCCTGTCCACCGTCACGGCCATCATCGACGGCACCGGCTCCATAGGTCTGTGGCTGGCTCCTGGCTCCTGGCAGCCGAGCACTGAGCCTTGTCTGGGCATCCTCCTCGGCCTGCTGCCGTCACGTGGGCGGGTCCAGGGTCCCTTGGTGGGAGCCCTTCCCTAACGCTGCGCTCCACAGGTGCAGCTCTGGGGCCTCTGCTGGCCGGGCTCATCTCGCCCACCGGCTGGAACAACGTCTTCTACATGCTCATCTCTGCTGACATCCTGGCCTGCTTGGTAAGAGTCCTTGGGGTGCACCGATGGACATGCCTGCTGCCGTCACGTGGGCGGGTCCAGGGTCCCTTGGTGGGAGCCCTTCCCTAACGCTGCGCTCCACAGGTGCAGCTCTGGGGCCTCTGCTGGCCGGGCTCATCTCGCCCACCGGCTGGAACAACGTCTTCTACATGCTCATCTCTGCTGACATCCTGGCCTGCTTGGTAAGAGTCCTTGGGGTACACCAATGGACATTGTGCATTGTGGGGTGTCCTGTCCTGCCAGGCCAGAACCCTGGAGGCCCAAAGTATTGCCCCGAGGGGCTCTGGGACAGCAGCCCTTTGCTAAGAACCACGTCCCTCCCACGGAGACCCCTGCTGAGTGAGGCTGTGTGCCAGCCCACTCCCTCCTGCCAGCCCACTGCTGGTCACAGCACTGGGGACTGACCACTGCTCCCTTCCCTCTGTGCCCCCAACTTCCCGCAGCTCCTCTGCCGGCTGGTGTACAAAGAGATCCTGGCCTGCAAGTCACACCTGAGCCCAGGCACCGGGTGAGTCCTCAGGGGAGCGGGAGCCCCGCCTCCCACCTCAGTTCAAACCCCTGCCTTCGCCGAGGTCATAGCTTCCTCGCTGGGGGAGCAGCGGGGCGTGGGACGTCGCCCAGGACAGAGAGGCCGAGTCCAGGGGCATGGCGCCCCGTCGGAGCCCAGCTCCGCGCAGACCTGGATGTGTCCCGTGAACGCCCGCCCCGCCCCGGCCCCACTAACCTGCCCTCCGTTGTCCCATGTGTCTCCGTAGCTCTTGTCTCGCCTTAACCCACACGCAGTAGTCGTTCCCTCAAGCCCCATGACTTTTGTGAGTATTTCCTTCAAGTCTGTAGCTGATCATGTGCCAGCAGAATGGGTCCTGCATGCAGAGCCTCCTCCTTCCAGTGATTTTCCCCCCAACTTTCTCTTTCTTCCTGGGGGCCAGTTCCAAAGGCCGTCCGTCCGCCCACACAGAGCATGGTGCTTGGGAAGTGATTCCTGAGGCCTGAGCTGCCACCAGGGTCGCAGCCTCCTCACTGGGGGAGCAGCGGGGCATGGGACGGCCCCCAGGACAGAGAAGCAGAGTCCAGGGAAACAGTTTCCTTCTGAACTCAGACCCGGGGCTGCAAGTGCTCCACAGGCTCAGAAACCAAGTCCCTGGGCCCCGCCTGCGGTGTGCAGCAAGAAGCAGCTGCCAATCAAAGCCTCTGGGACACAATCGAATGCGTGTCGCTGACCGCTGGTGTGCGCTTTCGGTTACTAGCAGCCAGTGGTGGTGGGTGCGCAGGCTGCGCGGACAGGCTGGTGGCTGAGCGGGGCTGTGCTGGGGCTGGGGGCTCTGCTGGCCTTTCTGGCTCCGCTGCTGAGCAGGAGGCCCTGCTATCGGGAAGCTGGCAGAGCTGTGGACCTGGTGGGGATGGGAAATGTGGGTCCTGGTAACCAGCATGCCGTGTGGGGAAGCGCTTCCCTTTAGGGCGGGTGCCACCCAGGTTCCGGGCGGGACACTGAGAGAGGAGGCATTGAGGACCTCCATCTGTCGTGCCCTGGCCTGGAGGAGCGGGGGTTATGGGTGGGGGGTGCGGGGGGGAGACTGGCCATAGGGCCAGTGGTTCTTCCAGCTGCCAGCCCGCGGGGAGATTGGGGGATGAAGGATCGAAAAGAGGCAGAAACGGGGAAGAATGAACACTTAGGCAGCTCTGCCCTGTGCCTGGAGTAGCCTGACGCCAGATCCTTAGCTTACCTCCCAGCCACCTTGAGAGGTAGACATGCCCGTTAGAGACGAGAGAACAGTGGCTCAGGGATCGGATGTGCCTCAGTGTCCCTGGTGTGTGGGGTTTGCGCTTCTCCACACGCTGGTCCTTCTCTGAAAGGCCCGTGTGGGGGAGCAGAGTGATGAGCTAGGGCAGAGGAGCTCTGGGCGGGAACCAGGAACCCCTGGGCAGCCCGCCTTCTCCGCTCACGTTCTCCGAACCTCCCCCTCCTCACGTGTAAAACGGAGCCGCGTAGCCCCAAGTACCTGCCGCGGCTGATCTGAGGCCGAGGCGGCATGGGATACGTGATATTGCTTTTTAAAGCTGCCAGCTGTGGTACAAATATCCTAAGGTTTTAATTTAATCTGGCTTTCTGTTCCCCGCTGAAGAGGGGAGAGGGAGCCCTGGTTACAGAGAATGGGGATGAAGGCAATTATGAAGGGACCCCAGGAGCCCGCCCTCCCTGTTCCCACCGCTGGGGCCGGAGATGATTAAACTGTCTCTCTCTCTCTCTCTCTCTCTCTTCCGCTCTCTCTTCCTCATTCAGGTATAAAGAAATATGAGGCCCCGATTGGAAAAGAAGCGTGGAGGGCCCCAAAGTGCTCCCCCTGGCAAGACCATTGAAACTGCGGGACGCTGAGACAAAGCCTCTCGATCTAACACCAGCCTTCAGAGCACTCGGGGACCCTGAGGGGCTGGGGGAGTCTCCGTGGGAAGAGGCCGGCCAGGCGGAAGGCGTCTCCATCCTGCAGAGGGAAACACCTGCTCAGACTCCTGCTGGTTCAGATCCCAGGACCGAGGCCGCGGCTGCCCAGGGCCAAGGCGGGAAAAGGCACGTCTCTCCTTCCTGTGTAGAATTGGACCTCTGTGGTCAGCTTGTACCTACAGATGGGATTCTGACCCGGTTTCAGGGCAGCCCAGCCTCTCTTTGTCCCTTTGTTCACAAGCCATTTATCGCCATTTGAACCTGTTCCTAACTCCTGACCCATTTGGGTTAAAGGACCGTTGCTATATCCAGGGTCAGGTCTAGGGGGAGGTGCTGAAGGCGTCATTCTTCGGCCTCCTTTGCCTCACCCTTGTCCCAGCCTCTATGTCTCAAGTAGAGACCACACATCAGGGCAGTGCTGTGGGGAATGGGAGCCAGGACTGAAAATACCAGTGTGTATGTGTTGTTTTTTATATATATTTTTATTGACTTCAGAGAGGAAGGGAGAGGGAGGGAGAGAGAGATGGAAACATCAATGATGATAGAGAATCATCGATTGGCTGCCTCCTGCATATGCCCGCTGGACTGGGGTTCAAGCCCGAAACCCGGGCATGTGCCCTGACTGGGAATCGAACCACGACCTCCTGGTTCACAGATGGACGCTCAACCACTGAGCCACACCGGCCGGGCCCAGTGTGTGTTTTGATTAAAATGCCAGTGTTTTGATAAAGAAGTGTCAGTGGTTATTGAGTGCTCCCTGGATGCCTGCTCTATTCTGGGAACGGAGTAGACAGCGGACACAGGAAAAGGACTTGCACCTGCGCACAGGGACCAGGGTGACAAGTCTGGGTCACTCAGGAGCCGTCACCTATGCAGCTGCCTGCAGCTCTTGGCCGTGGCCTTTTCTGCCATGGGGTTCCGGGTGGACCTGTTCTGCCCCCTCAAGGCCCGGCGTGCGCCAGGCCAGGCCAGCTCGCGGCATTCTGTCTGACCCCCGAAGCTGCCTCTCAGCACCAATACAGACTTCGTGTGCTGGCTGTGCAGGTGCGAGGGCTCCCGTGGGCTCTGGGGGCAGTGTCCTGGGGCCTCCAGGTTGTGTGCTGGGCTGGTCACAATGGTCATTTCCAGAGGAGACACTCATGACAACGTTGATGACCGGTGGGGCAGGCCGGGAGCTTAAAGCCCCACGTAAGACACCAACATTGCCTCGGCTGGGACACGGGGCCAGTGCATTAGCCGGATGCAACTTATTGTGAACTGGCAGTACCCGCCCCAGTGGTGACATACACATGGGTCTTACTCTGGCTTTGAAAGCAGGAGGACTGAGTGGATGCTATAAAGATTTATCTGACATCATCCCTCAGGGGCCGCTAGGTGGTGCCCTCACCCCGTGGTAGAGACCAGCGTGAGCCTGGGCTCCCTCTATCCCTCAGGGGGGGACCAAGGAACAGAGGTTTCTTCACTCGCCCAATGCCAGCTTGCTTTCTGCTGCCTGCCCACGGGTCAGGGTAAGGGGGCGGATCTTGCTCCTCTCTGGCACTTTTGAGGTCTTCTCTCCCCCCACCTCACTTGCTTTTGGCCTGTTTCGTCATCTAGAAAATGGTAACAACATTACCTACGCTCCGAGCACAGGTGTGAAGGGAGACAAATGGGTATAAAACACTGCCCGCCCCCGAAGAGCTTGTCTGGTGAGGGGATGAGACAGGAGTGGGAACATGCTTACAAACGACACAACAGGAGAGAAAACACGAGATCGTAGGGCCTCACGGTGAGCCCAGCCCTGAAGGGATGGGCTGGCGGGAGGTGGTCCCCTGGCAGCGCAGGAACAGGTGTGAAAGGCACGTGGAGGAGGAATGGTGGGGCGGGGGCTGCCAGGTGGCTAAGGTCGTGGGGGGAGCAGAAGAGGGAGGCAGTTAAGGTGATGCTTACCAGGCCCCACGTGCAGGGCGGGGCTGGGACATGACAGGGTACACCCGCTCCTGCCAGCAGGTAAGGGTGGCACCAGGGAGAGGCCAGGGAACTCGGAGCCCGGCCACTCGGGCTGGAGGTGGGCGTTTGGGGAAACACCCGGGACCTGGCCTTCCGCACTGTCTCCTGGGTCCCAGCCCCACCTCCGCCCTGGGCACCGGCTGTTCCCAGAGGCCTGGTCCCCGCCTTCTCCCTGGGCCTCAGCATTCACTGGGGGCTAATGCAGGAGCGTTACATTAATTAGTTATTCATTTAATTTAACTTCACATTTGGTCTCAATTAAGCTTAAAGTGTTCTTCCTTATAGATGTTACAATAGCACTTGTAATTAAAAAGCAATAACTCTTCGCATTTCTCCTTTAGCGATCCACTGGGAGGCTGGGCTGGCAGGGGGCAGGGGAGGGAGGCGGCAATGGAAAGGAAAGGGAAGGGAAGAAAGACGCTCTGGGTAGATGCAAGCTCGCGGAGGCTGCCACTGAGACTGAAGTTGGGGGAAGGAAATTCTTCACATGCCCAGAGTGTGGGAGTGGGAACCGCCAGGACTGGAGAGCGATCCTGGGGATAAAGGGTGCACTTTGTATAACGAGGGGTGGGCTTGGGAGAGGCTGGAAGGTGGAGGGTGGAAGGAGGCACCCCTTGGAAAAGGAGGATGGGTCCATGCATTGGTGGGAGGCAGAGCGGTGCCCCTCCCCGAAGCGGTCATGCCCTAACTCCCAGAACCAGTGAACCCATTGTCTTAGGCGGCAAATGACACTGCAGATGTGAGGGAGGACTGTGAGGTGGGGGGGGGGGCACCCTGGGTTATCAGGGCGGGGCCCAAGGTAATCACATGGGCTCCTTAGAAACCAAAGAGGGAAGCAAGTGTCCGGTGTCAGATAAGAAGACGCTGGCTTTGGAAGAAACCAGAAGGGCGCATCGGAGGAGGAACGCGGGCAGCCTTCAGAAGCTAGGAAAGGCAAGGAAGCGGATTCACCCCTAAGGCCTCCAAAACTTTTATTTTAGCCTCGTGGAACCCAGATTTCTGGCCTCCAGAGCTGTAAGATCATAAATCTGTATTGTTCTGAACCACGAAGGTTGTTGAAATCGGTTCCAGCAGCAATAGGAAACTATTACATGCTCTTCGTGTAAAACGAGGGCAATATCAGTTTGAAGACAGGAAAACTGAAGAAGTCCCCAAAGATGAAAAACAGTAGAGGGGTGTCCAGGCGGTATGTAGGTACCACATACGTGCCACTTGTCACTCCTCCGCGTTCTCTGACGGCGGGAACGGGGCTGTGTGCATTGCACATCCTTACGATACCCGACAGGATGATGAAAACCAGGAAAAGGAACTTTATCCTTCTGTCCACGGTGTTGGGCACTGGTTTTGATCCCGGCTGTCATTTCTTAGGCCCCAGGAAACTGAGACAAGGGTGCGTGTTAGGGTGGGGATTTGGAAACATTTTTTCTTCCCTGGAGCTACCATGATCTGCTGGAGACAAGAGATGAAGAAACAAGCACATTCATGGCTTGTGGCTTTGATTCTCCCATTGGCATCTCTGAAAACAAACAGGTATAATTTTGCAGGGTGGACAGCGCCTTAGAGATTGCTGTGCAAGTCCTTCTGACAGCTCAGCCTAGGAGCTGCCCATGTGTATCGCTAAGCAAGAAGGAAGTCAACATCTAACAGAGCAAAGACCTTCCCCAAACCCATGTGATCAGTGAACTTGTCTCTGAGGCCCCACGTGGTGTTTAGCGGCTCTGCCTGGATTCCTGGCCAATCTCTAAGGTTCTAGATTTTCCACTAGACTCAGTGGCTTCTCCTCGGTATTTCTGTCAACGGGATTTGCATCTCTTGACCTTGGCCCCTCCTTTCTCTTTGTTTTCATTTTACGGAGTAAGTCGTCTGTAGACCTGAAGAGCTTGGCTGGAGCCAAGCTGCCTGCCTCCTATTTAACCCCTGGCTAAGTGGCCTTGAGCAGAGCACCTCCCCACGCTGGGCCTGCTCCCCATCTGTGAAATGGGGACATTAAGAGTGCCTGCGTCATAGGGTTGCTATGAAGGTTACAGAATACTTACAAAGCACGTAGAGAAATGTCTAGCACATGTTTGCTAAGCATAATACAAACTGTGACTTCTGCATGTGAAAAATTCCCAAATACTGGGGTGGAAATAGAGATCAGGGATTGAACTCCATGAACTATAAGACCCCTTCCAATCCCGGGTTTTATGCCCATGAGAGGATAATCAGCATTTTTTTAAAAATTCACTCCCATGTGGTTCTGGTTCCCAACATCTGGAAACTTGCTCCTCTGTAAGTAACAACAGCCACATCCTTAAAGGTTTAGGCCAAGAAGTTATGATTAAATGCTTAGGAATTCCGTGATGAAACTTTTATCATTTTGGGGATATGGATTAGGGAAATGGTGGGTACACATAGCTAAGAAACAGTATTAACCAATGGAAAAATAAGGCGTTTGAAACCCAAAAGCGATCGTTAAACTACCTGAGAAACGAGGTATGGGGGATCCTGGCGTCCAGTTCGAGCCCCTCTACTGACCAGCCGTATCTCTCTGCCTCTCTGTCTCTCACGTCAAATTGCGGCAGGTTTCTTTACACATTGAATTAAAGTCAAAGTAAAACAGAAACACTTCAACTGTAGCAGCAATGACATAGTTTATTTTTAAAAAAAGTTTGTCTTAGAGAACGCAACGAGAAATGGAGGACTTTATGTTAGAATAAAAAATATTTAAAAGTAATTTGGGTGCCTTCCTCCCGGGACAGAGTTAGGAAGGCTGTCTAGATGCCTCCAAGGCCAGTTCTCAGATTGGCTCACTCTACCAGGACAGATGCTATATACCCAACAGCAATGCGAAGTGTTGAATGCAGGGCAATGGGAGTGTGTGCAGCAGGCGTGGGTAGCTATGCAGACCCTAGTGACTGAACATCGATACAATGATTTTGATGGCTTTTTAAATTAAATATCTGATATCGTGCATCAGTAGAGAATGTTAGCTTTACTTTCATTTTTATGAGAAATGTAAGGAACTTGTCAAGAAATTACCTAGGGCTTTTTACTGGCTTGAGATTTCTAAAACACAACACACAGCGCCGCCTAGTGGAGAGGACAAATGTCTGCACTGTGGGAGGGGGAAAGGAGGTGCTCCGCTAACTTAGCTTCTGTCTGGACATAATTTTAAAAGGCTATGAAATATGGCCTGTTCTCTTATATAGAAGCCCTGATTTGCTCTCCTCCTCCACCTTACAAACAGTAGGGATCACCGCAGTCTCTTTGCCACGGGATCCAACTGGGTAGGGAGTGTATAGCAACACCTGCATGGCCGTTGTTGATCAAAACATGGTGACCAGGGACATTAAGATAACCCCTGCACGCCCTAACCGGTTTGGCTCAGTGGATAGAGCGTCGGCCTGCAGACTGAAGGGTCCCAGGTTCGATTCCGGTCAAGGGCATGTACCTTGGTTGCGGGCACATCCCCAGTGGGGAGTGTGCAGGAGGCAGCTGATCGATGTTTCTCTCTCATCGATGTTTCTAACTCTCTATCCCTCTCCCTTCCTCTCTGTAAAAAATCAATAAAATATATTTTTAAAAAAAGATAACCCCTGCTTTATCTAAGGGACGACTGCCAGGGAGGCCATATGCACAAGGGGTGCCCTATCAGACACTGGCGGTAGGATGCCCATGTAGACCTCTCCATGAAATTCAATCTGCGCCCTCCCAGCCTTTTACTTCTTATCCCAACCCTGTGCAGTTTTGGGAGGTGGTTGAATACGACTGCTTTGCGTATGAAGGTGGAAAGTAATCTGTCATTCATTTCACTGTGGCCGGTAGCTACGGACAAGGATCTATAGAAGGCAGGCTGAGCTAAAAAAATATATATACTTGGTTCCAAGTATGATTTTTGCCCTTCACACACAGCCTGCCATTTACATCTGTGAAAATAACAACAACTGGACGGGAAGGAATTCAATTTCCAACCTTCACACATTTTTCTCCACAGAAGTAGTCACCCAAAATGTCGTACCCGTTACCCATTGATCTAAAGGTTGGACAACTTTGCTGGGGAATAAGAAAGACGGAAACCTACACGTTTTCCCAGACTTGCGTTTTCAGCAAGTCTCTCGGGAGAAGGTGCCAAGAGGCAGCCTGTGATTTGGGAGCCCCTGGGCTGGCTCAGCACCTCCGCACGGACTCGCCAGGAACTGCCGGCTTCGGTGGAATGTCCAAAAGGAGCCACCCGGCCCCACTCCCCTCAACATTTCACATCCACATCCTCCTTTTCCCTTCAATCTGCTGGTGTGTGTGTGTTGGGGGGTGGGAGAGGGGGAAAGAGATGTTTGTTTCTTTTCTTACCTAAGGACTCTAGGCCAGAAGGAAACGATTTCCTTTGAAACATTCGGTGGCCAAGCTATATCTGCAAAGTTTTTCCAAACTGAATACGATAGAGACAGTTCAAGGGCAGGGATACTGCGCCTGGTCCTCACCAGCCCGTGACCCCCAAAATCACCAGTTCTCTCCACTCTTAGTTTGGAGCTGAACCCCCGCTGGGTGGCAGGGCTGGGTGGCAACAGGATGCAGGAGGGAAGGCAGAGGAGTGGCCCTGACTGTCTCCTCTCAGTCCAAGTCCACAGAGCTCAGCTGTTTTCAGTCCAAGATGGGCCTGGAGGGGGGTGGCGGTGGGGGTGGGGGATAGCACACCTGCGTGCACCCGGGGCACTATGTGAAGTTGGGCACGTTACTTAATCTCTTTACGCCTTTATTTTTGCTACTTTAAATTGGGGGTGATAATAGATTGTTGGAAAAATTAAGTAAATTCCATTTCAAAGGAACTAGTGTACTGCTGGCGTATAGCATGTACCCAGTCAACGTTCTCTTTCCAATTTGTTTTCTGATTCTTTAAGCCGGGAGATTCTTCTTCACATGGCTCTAGGGAGTCAGGATGAGACTCAAAGTGGAGCCAGCCAGGGTCCCTCTATTTAGAGACACATTCCACTTGGCCTAGGATCTGAGACAGGTATGAAGTTATATCTGATCCTGGGAACACATCCCTCACCAGCTTCGGAGAAAGGGCTACCAAGATGAAACAAATGACAATAACCCCAAATGGACTCACTGGTGATTAAATAAGGCACACAAAGGCCACCAAGTCCTGGAAGAAAGAGAATCCAGAGATACATAGCAGCAAGACAAGCACTCAACACTTCCACACCCTTTCACTAATCCCCCACGTAAACCCGAAATGCACAAATACTAGATGCGGGGAGCTGTGGTGAGTTTGCAGCCAGAGCCAGTCCTGGGTTGGTGTGTGGGCTCTCTTAGCGCGGAGGGAAGCGACACCGTTGCCGGGGAGTTCTGTGGCCGGACACACACAGAGTGGCCAATAACAACACCTGAGTAGTTTTCCAACTCATCACAGTAAAGTCACCTTTTGAACGCTGGGTCCTTTCCTTCCCACATGACCCCAACCTTACGTCTAAGGATTGTGTGCGTTATCAAAAGGACCAAATTCTCTCACTTACTGGACAGCAGGAGCCAAGCGCGCCTTTTCCTGAAATCCCCTTACTGCTGTCCTGGTTGAAAATCTCCTCTAAGCGGATCAGTTACTATTTCCCTTACAGAACAGATGGGAAACCTGGGTACAGGTGTTCGGAAGAGTGCAACATCCCTCTCAAGCTGGTCGGAATCTACCTCCAAAGAGACAATTTTAAAAAATATATATATTTTTATTGATTTCAGAGAGGAAGGGAGAGGGAGAGATAGAAACATGAATGAGAGAGAATCACTGATTGGCCACCTCGAGCACGCCGGGAATCAAACCGTGACCTTCCGGCTCGTAGGTCGATGCTCAACCAGCAGCCCCGCGTCTGGAAGCCAGGACTCAAGGGATCTGTCTTAGCAATGAATGGATTTCCCCTGATCTTAAGGCCCGAAGGCTATCAAAACAAGGCTCCAGCCCTAACCGGCTTGGCTCAGTGGATAGAGCGTCGGCCTGAGGACTGAAGAGTCCCAGGTTCGATTCCGGTCAAGGGCATGTACCTTGGTTGCAAGCACATCCCCAGTAGGGGGTGTGCAGGAGGCAACTGATCGATGTTTCTCTCTCATCGATGTTTCTAACTCTATCCCTCTCCCTTCCTCTCTGTAAAAA